TGGGTTTTTTCTGATAACTTAAAACCACTACCTAATGAAAGAAAATGAAAATAACTGGTTAAAAAACTTTCCTTCCACTTATGGTGTTTTGCTAAAAAATAATTCCCCTCCAACAATACTCAAGCTTTGTCCCTACTCAACAACCGTGTATATATTTGGGGAATAATATATTTTAATTCCTCTTTAATGCTTAGAGCTGACACTATTTCTCTTATGAAGGTTCACAAAAGAAGAAACTATGCTCAGGACACTTAAAATGTATACAACTCTCTGTTCTTATGTGTGAAATGCCTGAATTGCCAAGAAGTGAGTGTTCTGCAGGGTAGGACTTACCTCCTCAGTTCTCATTGTTTTTAAAACATACTTATTCTGTGATTCTGTGAAGAGTAGGGGCTGTGGAGGCTGTGGTGCTCAGGCTCCCTTAGCTGAGCAGCCCTGGACGGACATGCCTTGGCCGTGGTAAGCTCCAAATCCCAGCGGCTGTGTCAGTGCCGGCAGTGCTGCCCGGCCGAGCTCGGAGGGGACTGGGGGCTCCCCTCACATCCCAACGCTCACTCCCGTCCCACCATGGGAGCTCTGCACCACGCCAGAGTGCCAGCCACCACCTGCAGAGCCCAATTTCCATGTCTCCCAGGAAGACAGTCCCCACCTTGTCCCCCATGAGCCCTGGTGGCTGCAGGTTCTGGGATGGAAACCTCAGATCCCTCCCCCGTGCCTCCCCAGGCTGCCCCAGCCAGCACCCAACACCCACCAGCAGTCATCGCATCACCCCACCAGTCCCCAAATGCTCATCCTTCCATCAGGAAAGAGACTTTTGTCACCAGCCAGCTGAGGAGAGCAGCAGGACCAGAGGGTGCATCCATGCCCCGAGATGGGTGGGCAGGAGATCTTGCACCCCCCAAGCCCATCTCTTGACATTGCTCCCTCCAGCCTCAAAAAGCTCTTCACAATGGGACAGTCTCTTTCTTCATGCCCTGCCAGACACCCACCGGCACTGCTGGCCCGTACCCATCCCCGCAGGCAGTGGCGTGGGGCAATTCTGCCCAACACCACAGCTTTGCCGTGCCAAGACAGAGCCGGCAATAAAAACTCAGCTGCTGGCCCGCAGCACCGGGCTCAGCTTTCAAAACACGCTGAATTATTAGCAGAATTATTAGCAGAAGGCTAGAGAAATAAGGAGGAGTTTTGCTCTCACCACATGAATTAATATTATCCAAATATTTACCCTGCCCTGGCTGTGACCAGCAGCAGAAGCGCGGCTTGGCACCCTCTCCAGAGAGATGGCTCTCGTTAGGAGGATTAAGTGCGATTTTGACAGCACATGGTTTTGCTCTTTGATCCAGAACACGCCCTGGAAAGATGCTTGGTCCCAAGGTCCAGCTCAGCCTAGTCATGTCCTAATCGGTCCATTTCTGCTGTTAGCAGACCTCCTTGTGCTGGCTGGAACTTGGGAAGAGACTTTTTTTGGTCAGTATGGGGAAAGGTGCCTCTCGCATGAGACAGAAGTGATTTGCAGCGAGGCCTGATTCAACGGGGGTGATACACACTCTGCATGAGGGCTCGACAGCCACGCTCTCCTGATCTTTGAGCCTATGTTTTCTGGGATTCCCAAAAACCGATGCCCAAACCGTTTCAGGGAATACCCAGCCATGATGCCCTGCATGCTGGAGTGGATTAGCTAAGCCAACCGGTGCAGTCAGCCTGGCACAGAAGCCATGTGCCAATCTGACCACCCACTGCCCTTATTCCCTCGTCCTTCTGCCACCGCTCCTGCTGAGACGATCTCCCTGCCTCCTACACCAGCAGGGTTGTGCCTTCCCCACCTGAGAGTCAGACCCAAGGGGCCATGGGGCTGCCTTATGAAAAAACTCCTAAGTTAGTAAAGAAAACGTTTTAAAGAGAAAGGGCAAACGCCCACAGTTATCAGAAAAAACACCATATGTTTCCTCCTTGGTCAAAACCAAACAAGCAACTCCATCCTGGTGCTGCTTCCTGACCGTGCTGGCGTGGGTGGGATAAGCCAAAGGGACATCGCAGGCGAGCCCTGTCCCGTCCTGTCCCCATCCTCCTCCCTCCTGCCTGCTTGCCCCTTCCCTACCCCGCGCTGCTCCAGCGAGCTGAGCGGCTTATGGCAGGTCTGGCTGGCACGAAGGAGGAGTGCCTGGGTGGGGAGGGGACAGAGAGGTCCCCTTGCAGTGCCAGCAGCCTGACCCCAGGCCGCGGTGTGTCCCTGTGTATTCAGAAGCTACCATCAACCGGGATATGCTGCTAAGGGTTTCCCAAGGGTGGCTCCTCCAAAGCTGGCCATGCAACTGCGGGAGCCACCTCTGAAAGTGCTGACGAGGCTCTGGTGCCACACTGGGCTGCCCTGCAACCTCCAGCACAGCCAGAGAGGGACACCATCTCCTGTTTGCAGAGAGCTCCTCTCCACCAGGAGCTCCCAGCTGCGAGATGCACCAGGAGCATGCTGGATGCTTTTGGTCAGGGTGGGAAAAGAGCCATTCGAGCAGCCTGGGCTGCCCCAGAGGACACATTTGCAGGGCGAATGACAAGCCCTTGGAGGGACTGAGGTTAAATCTCTGCCCAGTGGCTCTTCCCAGAATGAGCTGCTTGTACCAGCGAGCCTCAACACAACC